CCCGAGCCCCATCCGTGGGATGCAGAGGGTGTCCCTGGATGCCGCATCCTCCCTCGGGTGTTAGCACAGGACCCTTTTCCCGATTTGGGGGACCCCAGAGCCCTCTCCAGGTCACCAAACGGCAGCGTGGGTCTGCGGGGGGTCTGGGTGTGCCGGTGGCATGGGCAGAGGGACACCGAAGCATTGCCCCGCCGGCTCCCAAGGCTGGACCCTAAATCCTGATACTCCCAAAATCTCCAGGAATGCGCTGGGGCCAGCTCAACCAAACCACGGGGGGCTGCCCGGAGAAACCCCAACTTCTCTCTGAACAGGGACTGGGGATGTCGGAGCAGGACAGCGGCTGCACCAATGCCCCAAATTGATGCCGTGGCCATGCCCGGCTCTGCCACGGTGCAGGGCTGTGCCTCCCCTCTGGAGAAGACGGTGCTGCCCACCACCACGGGCTTGCACAGGACCCAGCCGGCCCCCAGGAGGGTTTGGGCACGGTGGGAAGCGGGGTGGCCTCAGGGTGCATCCATGCATAGGTGCTAATGATCTCCCCAGGGATGCCCTCCCCACGCGGATGCTTCCTATCCAGGTGGCACGACTCATGCGCCGGCAGAGCCCGGCCGCGTCTCGGTAAGGCTGACCCGCTGAGAGCCTGCCAGGGACTCGGTGCTGTGCGGTCAAGCCGCTGGGACCCAAATCTCTGCGTGTCCCGAGGAGCCGCCACAAGCAAGCTCCAGCTGGCTGAGGTGTCGGTGCTGAGACACCAAAGCAAACAGGGATGCAGGATAAGCCCCGCCATGCTGCGGGCTCCGACAGGAAGGGGAGCCCATGCTGGGGAGCGGAACGGCTGCCCAAAAACTGGGCAGCTTCGCCTCTCCTTCTCCCCCTGCAACCACCACGTGCTCTCCAGACCCCAAGCCGGACAACACGGGGGGGTCTGGTGCCGCTCTCCCCATGCAGCCCCCACGTGAGGGGCACGGGGACTGCGACCGGCCGGTGCTGCGTGCGCTACTGCTGTTGTGGCCGATCCTTTCCGAGGGCTCCAGCTCTTTTCCTGCCCGGCTGTTTTTCAGCCCTGATCTCCCAGACAGTTGCCACCCACAAAGGAGAGGGCACAGCACGAATACCAAGCGTCTGGAGAGCATGGCAGACACACAAGGCAGATTTACAGCAGCGTGAGGGGTTTTGTGCCCTGGCCAAGCGCAGATGCTTCTCCCTTCCAGCTGCCTGGGGACGGCTCAGAAGTGGTGGCACAAATCTCTCATCACACGGTCGGGTCCTGCTGCCTTCCCCGGCTTGCCCAGGCTGGGGTGTCTCGGCTGCATCAAGTGAACTCGCCGTCCTCCTACAGCATCTGGATCCCATAACCCAGCACTTGGCCGGGCAGGCAGGAGCCTGGGAGCGAGGGCAGATGCACGCTCTGCCGCGGCGGGGACGCCAAGCAGCCTGCCCGGGAGCCGGCGGCCAGGCCGGGCTGCCAGACACAGAGGGGCTGCCCTCTCCTGCCCGCCCGGCCAGGGCAGCAAGCAGCGGGGGCTGCTCGTGGGGCACTGAAAGGGTTTCCCTCTGCCTTCTCGGGGCCACACTCAGCTCTGGAGCTGATCCCAGCTAGCAGCCTCGAGCAATTTGCCCTGCCATTCCCCGAGCCCATCCCCGTGGCCTCAGGGCTCTTGGTGTGCAGGAGCGGGTGCGCAGGTAGAGCCGGGAGGCAGAGTGCTTCGCCAGGGTGCCACTGCCTTCCCAGTCACCCCATGAGATGGGGCGCCTCTGAAACGCCATCACCGTGGTCCCTGCCGCCAGGACCCGCTGTGTGCCAGGCAGGGCTGGGCGCGGGCACGGCGCCGCCGGCACCCGCCCGGCACTGCACCGCGGGACACGGTGCTCCGGAGCAGCCTGTCCTCCCACGCCAAACTTGCCACATCAAACTGTCACCAGCTCTCCGGGTCCAGAGCCAGAACAGCCCGGCAGGGAGGGGAACGTCCCTGAAATCGATGCCACCTGGTGCCCCGAAGCTGTGAGTCAGGGCCCGGGCTGGGATGGAAATCAGCTTCTCCGTGCTGTCAGCAGGAAAATACTGTTTATGATTGATGGTGCTGAGATGAAGCCGCTCTCCTGGCTCCACGGCCCCAGCCCCAGCATGCGTGCCTTCTATTATTGCCCCCCTTTCTCCATCCTTTTTCTCTTCTCTGCCTCGCAGTCCTTGCCCCGGCCGTCCTCGGCCCCTGCCGTGCTGGCGGTGCCGGCCTGCATATCCCATGACACACAGCAAGCCTGCGGCTCCAAAGTGCAAACCTCCGCACTGCTGGGGCCGGTGGCTCAGGCCCTAGAGATGGTATCTCAGGCAATCCCCCTTTCTTCCAGTTATTAAGCGGAGATTTATTAGAACAGCTTCAGTCCAGCTGGTTGCGTCCAAAAATGACATCAGCCTCCTCCTGGTTCCCGTCGCCGGCCACGCGCCCGTGCCCATGCTGCCTGGCCGGACCCCACGCCAGGTGTGGGTGCTGTGAGAGGTGGCGGGGAGCCCCATGCCGGGGAGCCCCCAGCCTGGGGGACGCGATGCTGCCGCAGTGGGAGGAGGCGCAGGAGCAGGGGCAAACATCTGGCCGGGTGAGCCATGGAGGAAGACCCTGCCCTGGGGGTGTGTCCCAAAGCTTTGGCCATCAGAAATCCCCTGGGGGATGCCCTCCAGCTCCACGAGCGCTGACGGTATTTTGGGGGCTTGGAATTTTTTGCAGGAACCTCCCCTGCCGGTCTCAACCCTTGTTATTCACAACTGGGAGGCAGAAAGCCCCGGCCATGCCTTTCCCTTTGCAAGCGTGGCAGGACGGGAGCCGGAGCTCGGCAGCCTCGTCCCGCTGCGGCGGCTCATGCCGGTGCCCGTCCCAGCCTGGCGGTGGAAGGGGATGCCGGCCGGTCCCAGGCGGTCTCAGGGGCTGCCGGGTGGGAGCAGCCAGCCCAGCGCGCTGCCTGCGAGGGTCCCTGCCAGCCCCGCAGCCACCGCTAGCGCCAGCGCCGGAGCTGTTCAGCACATGTGCCTGAGACAGCGGCTTTCTCCAGAACTGCACGGTTACAACCACCGGCCTCAAAATGCTTGGGAAATGACAGCCAGTCTCGCTGGC